AGATGTGTATAAGCACAGACACCTGACCTATCTTCGTATTGAATAAAAGTCAATTTCAAAAGATAATGTACCGTACTGTACAGTACGCCGTACAATTACAACACAAAATTACATTTAGTTGCATATATTTTAAAAATACAATTTTCCTTTCTATTTGAGACCACATTTGTGACCTAATTTTGTCCTCGGGGTTTCAGTCTCCACTTGGAGGGTTAGCTCTTATTTGGTTCTTTGAAAACGTGAATTCGAATTAGAGAGTCTCAAATTGGAGGATCTGGAATTGAAAGGTGCACAATATCCGGCAATTCGTGTATATAGTTTGTATTGTATTTAAATCAATCTGCACACAACGTTATTTCGTTCTTCAAGGATTCTTCAGTGCAGCTCAGATATTTGACATTGAACCTTAGGTATGAAACAGCAAGCTTGTAACAAGAAGTCTGGCAGTAACAAGATAATATTTATGTATCTTGTATTGTGTAACCGAAGAATAAACATTATAATTTGCTAACCGAGTAATAAACATCTTAATTTATGCGAAGGAAAATTTTTTTTTCTACCATTTCACAATACACTGTATTCTCACAGAATTTGTTACCATTTAAAGCATAATTCTAACTTCTTTGGTCAATTATATGCTTATCTGTGCTAATTCTATTTCAAATTCTCTGGTTCTAGTGGACTCCAAAAGTGTAAGAGTACTATAAAGGCGTGGCATGTATATAAACTTTAATGAAGACAATTCATCCTCACTTAATCCCGTACAGTATTATTTTTACCTTTAAGACTGTTAAAGTTAGCATTTTCGGATCATTTCACGTTGATCTCGTATTCAACCTTTTGTAGCAGATTGTATAATAATTACTTTTATCAATACCGCTGAATCAAATACGATTGAATGATTTGCCTATATTTACCAAAATGAAACAACCAAAGTGACCTGCTGTTACCTGGTGCTTTGAAGATACCGCTTTTTAATCACATGAACTTGTGTTAACACCTAGTAAAATGCACATGCCTCTTAACCATATCATAAGGCAAAGATCAACAGTTTCCTCACTTGGTTTTATCATGGTTTTATAATCTCTTTCTCTCTTTCTCACACACAACCATGGCCCACATAGTGGTGTATATGCCTATATATAATTCATATTAATAAGTCAATCGTGACGCCATCACTGTAACCCCAAATGTTATTTGCCTATTCCCCAGCGTCCACTAATTTTTCTATTAGTGGACGCTTGGCTTGATTTTTTTAGGTTCGTGTGCAAAAACAATTCCTCATTTTTTCGTCATTTCACCGCGACATCGCGCACCGCGATAAAAATTGAATTGTAATTGAAAATTACTTTCGTAAAACAAGCTTAGTTAGAACCCGGAGAAAGTTACTTCAAATTCAATATTAAGTATGAACAATTAAGGAATTCATTGAATCAATGGACCCTCATAAACACAACAAACTGAACGTTTAATAGAAATATTCTAGATCTATTTTAAAGACTCAAGGAACAAATTTAGATGTAGGCCTACGGCCAGACAGGAGGCCGCCGGGGCCTCCTCCTAGCCTAGTTAAGAAATCATCGCACGATTTTACCTGTCTGCATGCACCGACCAAAAAGGACGTCAGTGACTGTATTCTCTCTCTAATGCTGAAATGTTTATTTCTTTGACGAAAGTCTATTAAAATAGCATTACAAACAAGTTCTTTCTAACACAAATTCATCGTATCCGTAATAGTACGGCAGCTTAGGGCCACATTTGGACTTAATGTGGACGTTCCGGACAAAAGCACCAATTTTTTTTTACATGCTCCTTATGGTCATAGCATTCAATTTTTGGTAGGAACCACCTCATCCGAGGTCATTAT